GGGGCCGCCGCCCCTCCCCCCCATCCTTTGAAGCCTCCACTCCCCACATCTCACTGGGGATTCCCTGCTGCTCAGCCTGCAGCTACCAATGGCAGGACCTACCTGCTCTCCCAGGCCCTGGGGCCCACCTGGGCCTAGCTCCCTGAGCAAAAGAGGCTTAGTTCTGACCTTGACCCTCCTCCCACCTTGGGGCCTGTTTCTCCATCTGTAAAGCAGACGTGAGGCTGGACATGACTGCACTGTGAGATGGAGATGGGGCGGCTGGAGGTGGGAAAGCGTCGCTGGGAGAGCCTCTCGCAGGGTAGGCGAGGACAGGGCCCAGCCCCCAGCAGCCAGCCCCCAGCAGCCAGTTCCTGTCTCCAGGGCTGGTCACAGCTCCAATCTCAGGGGAGAGACCTGCTCAAGCTCACCCCAAGGAGCCCGGCACAGGGAGGGGTCCTGCCCACCTGGCATCTACCCTCCTCCCTAACATGCTCCTGGGGCCTTCCCAAGCTGGGTTCTGCCAGGTTCTCAGATCTTGGCTCTTAGCTCTCAGCAACCGGAGGAACCGTCCTCTGGGCTCTCGGGCCTCTTGGCCTTTGCTCACATTGTCCTTCTGCTTGTTCACTCTGCCCTGATCCCTGCCCTTCAGGTCTCCACGTAGACATCACCTTCTCCAGAAAGCCCTCTCCAAGACCCCTGGGCCAGAGGCACTTCCGTGCTCCCACGCTACCTGTGCTCACTCCACCGTGGCAGATCCCACCTTGGGTTTCATGGCCAGGCCGGGGCCCTCCTCTGCCTCCCAGACCCCTAAGTTCCCTGTAGGCAGGGCTATGTCTGCCTTATCTTGGACCCTGTGCCAGCGAGGGGCCTGGCCCAGAGTGGGCACTCCTTCACTCGAGAACACACTACCGAAGCTGCCTTGGCTGTCTGATGAGTGGAGGGAAGGACAAGAATGAGTATCTGCTGGCCTGGGCCAATCATCGGGAGGCGGCGCCTTCCGCACGCCCAGGCCCTTCCTGGGCCCTTCTCGGGGGTGGGGCTGCCCCGCCCTCCCTGCCGTTACCTGGCCAGATGATGGCTTCCAGCAGGGTGACCCGTCTGGCCAGGAGCTCCAGCTGAGCCTGCTGCTGCAGGAAGCTCTGTAAGCTAGGAGCCTGATGGGAGATCGAGAAGAGCAGAGGGTGCGAGTCTGGCCTCCGAGGCCTGGGCTGGGGAGCCAGTGGGGAAGGTTGGGAGGCAGGAGCCAGCTGGCTTCAGGGCCAGAGCCCGGGTGTGAGTATCCGGAGACCTCGGCCTTCCCTGCCACAGTGGGGCAGAGCGTGCCTCAAGTGACCAGAGGGTAGGGGATTGCTGGGTGAACGCCTGGGGGAGAGGCTGGCTCTCCAGCCCCTAAAGTGTCCTGCAGGATAGCTAAGGAGAACCAAAGGGGAAACTGTAAGAGGGACACCCAAGACTAGGAGGTTGAGGGCCTCCGGGGGGCAAGTGGGGGCAGAAGGGCAGAACTGGTAGATGGTGTATTACCCAGAGTCCCCTGGGGCCTGAACCTGGCTGTTACCCACAGTGCCCTGCACTTCAGGAGGCTAGCTCCAGACCTATTGCCCTGTGGGTCTGAAGACTGACTCTAGAGCTGAAGCCTGACCAGAGCCTGGATCCATCAGCCATAATCCTCCTGTGGGCCTGAGTCTGTTTTTTTCCCACAATCCCCTGTACTGCTGGAGACTGGCTCTGTTACCCACAATCCCCTGCTGGTATGGAGTTTGGTTCAGTCACCCTAAATTTCTCCCAAACTCGAAGTCTGTCATCTCTGGTTCTCTGTAGCTCTGGAAACCACATTACCCATAATACCTGGAGGCCCAGGTCTGATTTTCTAGGGCCCCCCCTCATTTGTGGAGAAGGGGATCAGTCATTAAGGGCTGGGTGTTCTTGGCCTCTCAGGTCCGTATTTGCCAGGGTAGGCACTTTCTCCAGCCTCGTGACTGGGCTTAGGCTCGGCTCTCTACCCAGGAGAGCTTGGGAAAGGCTGGCAGGCAGGGGCTGGGCTGGCTGTCCGTCTGTCTGTCTCTACTCACCATAAAGCCCAATCATTGTTTCCAAGATTAAAACCCTCTCAGCTAAAATCTTCAAAGCCTCGCGTAGTTGGTGCAACCCCTCCCCCTGTGGAGGAAAGAGACAGATGCAGCCGTGAAGAGGGCAGGGGTGGGGACCCTGCAAAGCTTGACGGTGGCCCATGCCCCACCCGGGACATGCACCTGCAGCCCCTGACCACTGTCACAGCCCAGGACCCACAGGCAGCCAGAACAAGACCAGGAAAGGACAGGAGGGGGACAAGGTGGGCGGAAGCAACCCCTGAAGAGTCCCTCAGAGAGTTTTGTTGGGAGCCAGATCCATGGTGTAGCAGTAATGCACTGCTCAGGAGTAACCGGACCCCACATGGTGGCCGTGGTTCGGATCCCTGGCCCGGTCAACCTGAAACACTCTGGGTCCATGTACGTGTTCCCACTATCCCACAGGCTGGAAGACTGGAGGAGAACCATGACGTGACCCTTAGGAAGTGCTCCCTTGTCGGTCTCACGTGTATGCGTTTGCCTGTCCTCTACCATCATAAGTAAAGAAAAAATCTGGGAGCTGGCAGGTGGCTTGGTGGTTAAGGGTGTTGGACTCCCACATGACTGACCGTGGTGTGAGTTCTGGACCTGGCCGCTTGCTTTCTCGCTTTCTCCCTCTGTCCCTCTCTGGTCAAATTTAAATAAATAAATAAATAAATAAATAAAGATGGCGTAATGGTTGTCGTTGGACCCCCATGCAGTCGACTGCAGTCCAAGTCCCAGACCTGGCAGATTAAAAGTCATGCTGGGTGTGTGTGTGAGCATGCCTGAAATCAGGAGAGGAGAATGGAGAAGGGATTGCAGCGTGGCCCATCCCCTCCGGGCGGTGACTTCTCACTTTCTATCTCTCCAGTAAGCACATGTGCCCTATAGCAAAAATCT